TCCTATTGGCTTTTTATCTTTCTGAAGTCAACTCTCTATTCTCCTTTTCCATTTAAAACCAGGGTCAAGTACATGTGGAAAATCAGATTAACAATCATCAAGACTGTAGAGTTGTAAAATAACTAAGCAACTGTGCCCTAAACTAACTTTTCCCTTTCAGATGAGAAAACAGTCAATAAATTTGCAAACTCTATGTGAAGAAAAAGCAAAAATAGTATTTTCATAGAATTTTAGAACTTTTACACTAATTCATGTAGGCACACATTTTAAAATTAGTATAGAATACAATTATGTCCCTAAAATGTTTTCACAATACTTTCTTTTTCTGTGCGCCACAATTTAGTAACAGTACGGTACGGTGGACTGTCCTTTTGTCTCATACCCTTTTACTCTCCATGTATTCCCTCTCGTTCTTGGAAAATTAGGAAACCTGGGCTTGAGCACTATAGCCCATGTCTCTTCACTTCGAAGAAGGGGGGGATGGGCCCTCTAGCAGGGATTCAGTGTTTTAATCTCATCTAAAGAAAGTTTAAAAGGCCAAGTAACTGCTCTCATTAACAAGACAGAAGAAATTTCATTCAAAATATATTCTACATGCTTCAAAACTCATGCAAAGACTTATGCAAATATGTAACACTTCTAAGAAATAAAACAGAAAAAGCAGCACTAAAGATCATTTTCGTGTGATACAATTATTGTGAAAGGATGTTACTATTTAGCAAAACTGAAAAAGAAAGGTGCATGACCTGTTGAAGACTGTGCGTTAACATCTGCTTTATGAGCTAGCAGCAACTTCACAATTTTGACATGGCCTCCATTAGCAGCAGCCATTAAAGGTGTGATGTCTCCTTTGATTCCCCTATCTTCCACATTTGCATGCATTGCCAACAAAACCTTTGAAAGAAAAAACAAATATAAAGGGTATTAGAAAGTTACTACTTCATCAAAATTTTAAACATATATAGTTATATAACATCTACCCAGTCATAACATAGTAAAAGTCAACAAGGACACAAAATTTTCTAACAAAACTATTTGTCGAAATGATCCCAATGGCTAGACAGGATTATTTTATTATGCCCTTACTTAGCAAACCAGATAAAAAGGAGGAAAGAAAAAGCTTTATTCTGATAATACAAACCTGTGCAAGCTCATAGTATCCAGCAGAACAAGCTAAACAAAGGAGGCTCTCTCCTTCCTCTGTGTGTTCATTTACACTTCGCCCTTCAATGAGTAACTTTCGTACAGCATTCACATCTCCTTCTGAACAGGCTTCTGCCAAACTGCGGCTAGTAGGGGAAGAGTATCGTAATACCAGGATATAAGAATATAAAAACTTGCACAGCATAATATTGGTTTTTATGTCAAGCTTGACAATAGTGCTAAGCATGAATGATTATTTCAATACAATTCATAACAAAAAGCTGAAATGACTGAGTTCAACGAGTTTTACAAATCTATACGTGTCACTGAATTAAAATTATCAATATTCCAAAATGTTTTAAATTATGCAACTGAAGGATAAAGTCTAATTTACTGTAAGTAAAATTTTAAAACATAACATTTTATGGAAATCACACACTAAATACAGATTATCATTATACTTCTTTAGTTGCTCACTAGAAAATTTTTATAAAATTTAATTGAGAAGTATAAAATGGGCAAAACTTGTACTAATTATAAAGGTCTATGGGAGTCCTTCCATCAGGTAAAGGGAAATCAGACAGGAGAGATGGGAGAATATTATATCAGTAACTAAATAACTGATAAGAAGAGGTTTGTGGGGGTGTATTTATGTATACAATTATATTTAAGGGGAGGTTTCAAAAAATCAAGAAAGGCAAAAATTCAAGCCAAAAAAGAATTAAAAAAATTGGAGTAACAGAACATGAGACTGAGAGAAAAGTTTTTGCCCTGTAAACTTCCCCAAACAATTCCCACTACAGACATTCCTAAAGATTCTTTCACTTTTGTATAAAATTCATTCTAGCCAGGATCGGTAGCTCAGCCTGTAATCCTGTGCCTTTGGGAGGCTGAGGTGAATGGA